CTACAATCCTGCAAAACACGTGAAAAGATTGCAGCAAAACAAACTGGATGTTATAAAGAAGCAATTTAGGAAAACTAAGCCTATCGTATTTGTAGTACAGTGAAGCTAAGATACAACACCCAGCAGGCAGGCAAACTTGCTAATATCCGATGAATTAGCATGCCTGATCATGGCACACCGGGTACAAAATGTGCAACCAGCATAACGTTTCCACCAGTATTGATAATCTATCGTAACGTTATTATCAAACTACATAACTGCTAAGAATGTGCAACTACTAACATAAGGTGCGATCGGCTTCGAAATCCAATGATTATGAGCAAGCGCGCATATATTTCTACATGTGCCATGTAGATAGAGTGTTTCATCAGGTTCAGTAGGCATGGATCCACAGTTCATTGTTCTGCTTCAACTACCGTAGCTGTGATGTACAAGTTTTGATCTCTGGCTACGCATGATGGTATTAATGAGCCCAATGGCCCACAAAAACCGAAGTGATGAAACTTTCTGCCGTGGGCAGAGGGATCATCGAGTTGCCCACTCTTGGTTATGTACTCATGCCATTACCAACTATCAGTGCACAAGTACTGCTACGCCCTCACTATGATCCATTGCAACAATATCACCAGGCACATGCATGCTACTGCACCTATTAAACCAAGAGTCGCAAATAGGAAAATCTTTGCTGTGAACCACAGCTAGCTATAAGGTGCTTTGAGTCCAGTTTTGTGGGAAAGTTGCACTGCATGATGCACAATACCACATTGAGCGAAATTCTTTTTTTCACATAGCGTGAAGTGTCTCTCGAGAAATGCAATGCACAATGCATAGCACATCGCAGAAAAATCTTGTATTGCACCTGCAGTCTAAAACTGCTTGCCAGCCAGAGCTCTTGAGTCACATGCACCAGCATGCAGGAAGTGATGCCCATCACGTGTCACCCAACCTAGAAGTGAAGCTGGACTCAATTTCCCGTGATACGACCTGTGATGGAGCTGCAACAACCAGCGATGCAAGTTTGCAGTCCAATTATTTGAAACTGGCCCGCTATGTTGCTGAGAACGTCGTACTCAAGGCAACATTTGAGAAATTACCTTTCGAAAAAATGTTCGGTACAAACATGGCCGGATATTGTTTAAACTTTACGGTACTGTGTGAAGAAAACAACTATTTTATTGCATAGACTAAAGGAGCCATCCAGCATTATCCATAATTTTCACGAAATGAAAGAAGGACCCTCCTCCACCCCCCCCCCCCCCCCCCCGATTGATGTCTGTAATATCAATATTTTTTCGAAACGAAACTCCCCTTGACCCACCCACAAACGAAACTTTTTCTCTTCGTGTAAAAGATCGACAATTATGGACCCGGCATTATCGATAATTTTCACCAAATGAAAAGTTTAGTTATGAGTAACTTGTGACCGTCCCCCACCCCCACCTACTCACCCCTCAACGAAAAATAGCTGGAATGGACTAGTGTTTCAGCTATCAATATTTTTCATTACGAAACCCATCTTGACCCACCCGCCCATGAACGATTTTTTTTCTCGTTTCAAAGATACTCAATCTGTTAAAGATAGATAATTATGGACGGCCCCTAACGTGCCAGGTTAAAAATGAATGAACCGTAGAAGATTGTTTGTGATATCACACGATCAGAACAGGTGACAACCAACACTACATGGCTGTATACTTGATGTGCTGCATTTACTGGGTGCAACGCAGGGAGTTGTAGCATCTAGGTAGACGACACAGGCGACTGTAAAGCTAAATGACATGGGGTTCGACCCAGGGGTTCCTGTTTCAGCCACCCTTGGGGCACCATTGGGCAGATCTATACACGCTCGTACATGGTATTGCTAACCTGGGCCGCTCTCAGGGTCAGTAGGTCAAGGCCGTGATCGCGGGTTGCGCAGATCACGGAGAACCTCCAAATCCTGAACCAAAATTCTATAAAGTATTGTGTAGTCTCCCTACAGTGTAGGTGCTATGACTCCCTGGTGCGATGTACCTGCTGGTAAATAGACAAATTGCAACCAGGCCATAATTCGGATAGAGCAGACGATCCTGTCCTGGACCCTGTTCCACATTCAAAGTATCTAGACTCATATAGTGAGGGAGGAATATTGTGGTACTGACACCGATTTTCATGCGCTAAGAAATTATCAAGTACATTGTATATGTAACTGTAAGTGATAATCACTCAAAGTACGAAGCTAACAGTAATATTCACTGGTTAGAGGGAAAGGCACAAACGGGAAAGGTCTGAAGAAAAAATTGACTGTCACCACCAGGATTCGAACCAGGGACCTTCGCTTGAGGCCAGCGATGCTCTAATCACTGAACTAAGGTGTAGCCGTCATCCCAGCCGAGATCGTTCAACATTTTCTTCAGACTTCGTAACGCACACTAACAACATCAGCTAATGGTATATGTACTCTTTTTCGATTGTACATGCAAGCTCTACCTTGTGATGTTGAGCTCTCTTCGTTTGGTGGGGGTACTCCGATCGTCTAATGTGAACCACAGTCCACCTACAATTCTACATTTGCAACGTTGTCCAATGTGCATCGGCACGCATTGTACATAACTGTTACAGCAGAGTTTAGATTATCCGCACCCCTCGGGCGCACGCTTTCTCCAGGGGGTTCGGATGGGGAAAAATTCGGATAACGGAGCAGTCACACATCCATCTAAGACTTGCACATTCCTTCACGTTTTCATCAGTTCTCACATTCTCTTCACAGGAACTAGACACACTCTAGCTCCTCAATATGAAAATTGGCATTTCGAATAAGTGATTGTTCGGAATATCGGCATTCTACTGTACCGTAAAGTCGCGGATAAAAGCCGGGCTTATAAGCACATTAGCCGCTTTCTCCATCAGGTTTTAATGCAAACCATGCTTATTATGCACCACTGATATTTTTGCCAGACTTGTATGCCAGGCTTCTACGTGCGACACGCGTAGATCTACCACTGACTACCGGTATGGCGGCAGTTTTACTATGCACCATACATAGCGCATGCACTCTTGACCCACCCGATCCGCGCTTGCATAGAGCAAGGCTTCTACGCGCGACGGGCTTATATGCATTCGACCCGTTTGATTTTCAGGCTTCTATCTGCGATGTGCTTGTATGCAAACCCGGCTTTTATCCGCGACTTTACGGTATTCATATTCACGCTCTGGAACAGGAGATCCTAGTTCGACTCAGACTGCCCTTTCCATAATACGTTTCCCATGTACTCGCAGTTCTTTTATCGGAACATCTTTTCTTCCCAACCTCAAATCCTGTGCAACACCGGTTGGCTTTCCTCAGTTTCCTGAATGGTGTTACCTCTCAATAGAAGCATGAGTGGCCATTCAATGTACCGGTATAGTAAAACATGTCCATAATTATCGGAGAAAGGATCGGATGTGGCTAAATAATTTGAAACTGTCCACCTCTCCTCACTGCGCTCTTGGCCCACATTTACCACACCATAGCGAGGAAGTTTGTTCTTGGATAGATGCTCTACATCCTCCAGACATCTATCCAAGAACAAACTTCCTCGCTATGGTGTGGTGAATGTGAGCCAAGAGTGCAGTGGTGGACAGTTGCAAATAATTTTACTACAATGTGCTAAGCAGAACAGAGGCACTAGCACCTGGGTGGAAACTATTCTGAATTTTGAATGCCACGGAAGGCTGAAGGATACCCATGAAACCACTGCCAAAGCAAACACAAATTTGAAAAGCAGTGCATGCATGATGGCGGTGGGAAAAAGGAGCCAAGGAAAGTGTGTACATATTTTTGTTGAAAGGATGAGAATTCAAAGAAAGCTGGCTGCTTCCTCTATTTCCATGATCGGCCAGTGCCTGCAGCACGAACAGTACATTGTATTACATGTATGTGCATAGACAGACAAATAAACACTAACCTGAGCATGGGTACCGCTTGTATTCGTGGTCAGGAAAGTGAAAGTACGAACGAAGGAGAAGAAGATTGTTGACCATGGCGAACAACTGCATATCCAGAGGGCACACGGCTTGCCAGAATGGGTCGGCTACATCTTCGCTAATTTTCTATCCTAACAACATTCAGCTTCGAGGTCAAGGACGACGGCATTTTTGGAAAGAAATTTCGAATTTTGGAGAAGAAGCTTGCTTTCGGAAAAATGTTCCTTTCACGCAAGGCAGCATGCCAGGTCAGGCGTGTGAACCAGGTGAACTGTGTCGGCAGATCCACGTTTACGTTCCAGGCCGACAGTTTTTTGACCAAGCCGTGAATCGCCCTCGCTCTGACTCCCCCGGCTACGAAGAAGTAATTTTACAACTCTTCAGGCCAGCTACAGGTCTCTGATGCAGAGCTGCAAGTGACGGATATCGGTCATTTGCAGCCACTACTAAGAGCCTCCTGGTCGTTGCAATCTGATACATAATATACCTCTGCATGCATGCTCTCACCAGGCCGGGAGTCGTCAAACGCCGGTACTTGACGACTCCCTGGCATGGCTCTCACTTGTCAGCCAGCTCACACGTCTTGTCGTGCACGCGCAGACGTCCAGCACACACGCGTGTCGAAATGTGTTTTTTGGCGGGTAGTCGGCAAAAAATTAAGTGAGGGTCCCTTTAGTCCTTCGCCTTGGCTTTAGTCCTTCGCTTTTTACGCTGGGTCGCCATTTTGTGCAGTCATGGTAACGAATATTTGAATTTTTGCCACGTGGCATGAGTACTCATTTTTGCTCTTCTGACAGCTAGCATGGTCACGCTGCAGTGCGTACATCGTACATACCCACGCACTTCACTGGCCTGTAACTCTGCAAAGACTGTGCCGATTCGCCTCAAATTTTGGATTCCACAGGTTCAGGGCCCTGTGCGTCCACTGAAAGAGTCAAAAAAGCCGATTTCTAAACTTCGATTTTTGACCCTACAAAGGAGTACTAGTACCTTAAATTTTGTAATACCAAGGTAACATTTTTTATTACTTTCATTGATTCCGTTCTTCATGAAACGTTACTTCAAGACTAGTGTCGACTATTCTGATATTAATTTGAACGTCGTTTTCATGTAGAATTCGGAACCTCGCTAGTGCTCAACAGTTGCAAGCACCAGTATTGGCAGTACCCCGGACACTGCAGTCATCAGTAAAGTCTGACTCTAGACTAAAGACGTGTACATGTACGTGTAACTAGCTAGTAGTAGCAGCTACTGTATCGCTTTATTAATGCTATCGCCTTGCCGCGAATATCTATTGTGCTTCCTTGCTATTATGGTAGAATGAAGGCCACCAAAAGGAAGAAGCGTTTGCCCATCAGTCGGAGGAGGAAATTCAGATCCGTGGCTGGCAGCGAGGACGAGTCTGACACGGACTATACACCGGCACAAGTTGAAAAAGCAAAAACTCGTACAGGCAAGGATTCAGCCAATGATTATGCTGCCCAAAGAATTTGCCGACTCCGTCGTAGTACGGTCGAATGGTGCGAACTTCCTGTGGAATTGTGGGTGAAAATATTCTCTGACGTCGTAGAGTTAGCGGGTGGATGTGTGCCTGTTCTCCTGTTGCTGAGGAGAGTCTGCAGACTTTGGAGTGAAATCTGTCTAACGCCCAGCCTCTGGCGCACCGTCACCTTCTCAAGACATGCTCAGAACGGTCCGCGCTGTGTTCCGCAAGCTGCAATACCCTGGCTAACCAATAACGCCTTGCACTACGCGCGTCATCTGGATCTCACCGGCTTTTCTGTGAATAAGACGGGCATAGGTTCTTTGGTGGAAAGGTGCAAGGAACTTGTAGGCTTGACAGTGCCGACTTCAGACATGTACCTCGCATGCCCGGTCTTGCTTTCACAGCTCACGATTCACCAATGCAAACTCCAACACTTTTACCAACTAACTCTTCGAAGAGATCTTCTGCAGAATCTGACAAAGTTGTCGCTGGGCAAGAGCTCCGCTCAGGACTTGCTTTTGTATATCGACGTCGACATGCCTCTGCTGGAATTTCTTTCGCTGGATGGCTTTATTGTGTACTGGGTGGTTATTGTGGAAAGATGTGGTAATCTACGCCATCTGACACTGGTTCGTTGTAAGCTAAAGCATCTCCTCCATGACCTGCCTGGTTTGCCAAAGCTCCAGTCATGCACTCTAGTTGAAGCTGAACACAACTCCGTGCTTGATTGGCGTGATTGGCGTGAACGCACCGCCTGGGAAGAGTGGATGCGGGGTGAGACACATGTGATCCACTGGCTGGAGAGATGTGCTGGCCTCGAGCACTTGACCCTGTCTGGCGATGAGGTCATGTGGGTGTATATAAATGCTCTCAGAGAGCGTGTTATCTGTTTGCAGTCGTTGCGATATCTTGGCTTGTATGGTGTGCTGCCTTGTATTAGCATCGAGCCATTCCTCACAGCACTAGTCCAACATTCAAGTTCATCCTTGGAATCCATTGAGATCACGAACTTGGTAGTTGGTGACAGCCTTGCTGCAGGAGAATTTTCTTGCCTGCGCCACTTGCAGCTGCATCATAGCTACCTTACTGCACCGATGTGCTTGAAGCTGCTGGAAGCATGTACGCAGCTAAAGTCTGTCAGCCTCTCTGGAAACTATCAGCTTCCGCGTGGCACCAAGCAGGCGTTCTCAGCAGATCGCTTTGGCCGATTGAAAGAGCTTCTGAAAGCTGACACGGAGCTTGGTGATGCGGCATAATGGTACTACAGTGACTTACAGCCTGGGACATCAACAGTCCGTCTTTTGCAGACTTGATTGTTGATGGACTCTTATCTGAAAAACAAGCAGAAGCAGCCCTGTTTGTTGTAACGATGTCATCATCGTCATCGTGTTGTGACAAGACTGGGGCTAGGGGGAGAAGGCCACTACATACAAACCTTTTTTGGTTTCAGTTGGTACCAGGAATGACCTGAACTCCTAGCAGTTACATTGAAGGCTTTCTGTGATATTATTCCAACTTTTGACATTTTCCATATGTAGGCTGAAAAGAAGAGCATTTCAATGACGTTCACATACCAGTAATATCATGGTGTTGGAAAGAGTGACAAGATCCAGAAATCATGTTTTTCATTGATTCTCATCCATTGTATTGTTCCTATTTCACGATCTTGTAAACTGTAAAGCATTACTGTGGTACCATGCGTTTATGTGCAGCAACAACCTTTGTTCCTTTTACAACTGCTTTGAAGCTTCTTTCTCCTGGCTGCCGTTTTTGCGGTATATTTTACTTCTGAAGTACAGTGTTGCTGAATAAAATCCAGCCACGTCACTCAAGTTTGCGCCTTGAACCTTTTCGCAGCCCAGTGTTCGCAGGGCACAGGCTCAGTGTTCGCAGATCTACCTGTGGCTATGGGGTGGACCCTGCTGCCGGTGCTAGGCTGAAGTCGGTGCGCATATCTCTGTTGACTGTTGTTCTGCCTGGTGAAGTTGTGTATATGCATCATGGTATCTTCAGCCAAATATCTGCAAAATTAAACAAAATAATTATCGTTAGTTTGAGGGAAAGTTGCAAACGGGAAGAGTCTTTCACCTCCAAGTCAAGACTACAAAGAAATTCTTCTCTGCCTGATAGACACTGATACACTCAGTGTTCATGGTGATGAATCTACATTTTGTTGTGTGTGTAAATAATTGTAATACAGTCCGTATCGCCTATAAGGTTGGCGGCTATAGTAATATACCGGATATAGTGATCAATTTCTCAAAGTCATTTTCATTTGCCATAACTAAGTATACACAGTTATCGCATATAGCAATAATCGTCTATAGTAATATATCGCCTATAGTGATCAAATTCATATTTCAAAAGACGTTTATTACACTATTTTCGCATCGGTTATAGTGAGTGATGTAAAATCAAGCGATGTCAGAGGAGAACAGGGTGTTACTTCTTCGTGAAGAACTTGTCCAGTGAGTGTTGTTCGGTGAGTTTTGCTTTTACAAGTTGCCAAAATATGCCTCCATCATGAGGAAATCCTGATTTTGTGTGTCAGGAGCTACAGCCAGCTACATGACATTGTACATGTATGTAGTGCGTATGTGCACGGCGCGCTGAGTCGTTTGACACCCCACTCGCATACATTGCAAGCAGTATCGGTCATAGTAATATATCGCTTATACTAGTTATAGTGATAAAATGCTCAAAATCAAACACCAACGCTATAGGCGATACTGACTGTACGTGTATCTCGCCATGGGAGCAAGCGCTAGCGGCAAGGTGCCCGTGCTAGGCTAGCTACTACTACTAGTACTAGTAGTAATTAAACTCTTACATTCGCCGCAAGGTCGGGAGCCCCTTCGCAGCTTATTGCCGCCGGCTGTGCTGAATTGGGCAGAGGCGTGATCGTTCGCCTTTGCATGCCGGTAGGCATTCGTATTAGGTAACGATTTCATGTGAAGCTTTGCGTTCAATTTTATATTTCAATTGAGTGTTCTATTTATTTCCGAAATTGGGTTGTCTTTTTGCTTTGACTCTTACTTCATGGTGTTGTGAATAAAACCGTTCTCAAGTGATCTATAGACTGCGAATTTCTTTTAAAAGCGAGTGAATTTTTTAGCGTTTTCTGAATCAGGACCAATTCGGTGATGAAAATATTTTAACGATCCGAGTTTCAGGGTAAAAAAAATGAGATGGCTGGTCCTGTACTAGTAGTAGTACTGTACCGTACATCTTTCAGCGTTTCGCTAAAAATAATTTCACTGGCGCTAAAATTAGCCGATGCTATTCATTACGTCATACGGATTTCAGGTAGGACATGTATGTCTGTAGCGTAGATCTACTGCCAGTGGTTATGACTTCTGTACCAGGTCTACTCTTGCCGAGTCTTGGTCAGAGAAATCGAGCCTCTCGAGAGTCGAGGATGCTCCAGCCTCCAGCTCAGGACCAGCTGTCCTCTAAGGCTCTAGTAATAGTAGCTCTGCACTCACTACTCGTAATCATACCACCTGTTGCCTGCTACAGTCCATTCATAAAAAAATGGGTCCTGGCTCTGGCGAGCTCCCGTATTTGGCGATTTTTCGTGATTTCATCGTACACAGTGCAGTGCTGCGAACTTTGAAATTTGAAAAAGGGTCCAAAAAGGGTGCCTGAACTGGGGTTCGAACCGCAGAATGCACTGTTGCAGGCGGGGTCAAACGGCCTGGATTTTGATGGTTTTTTCCCAATTCAGTGCTTTTGGGGCAAAACCTGGCCGAAATCCTATTCTTGCTATGGCTTGCTTTTTGGACAAAAAAACTTCAGAAACATAATTGGAAGAGGATTCCATATGGGATTGCAGAAAAAAATTCTAAAAAAACTCAACGTTTGACCCATTTATGGCCAAAAGCTAGAAGTTCATTTTTTTCTGAATGGACTGTAGGTACGCGCTTGCCAGTACAGTGCCGTGGAGAACCGGTACCAGGGAACGAATTACTTCATCAAACAAAATTTAATACTTACTTCGCAGTAGAGGCGAAGCCGCAGGAAATCACAAACCGAGGAGCGGCCGGTCCAACACAAGTTAGTTTCCGCCATCCTGTCGGTACCACCGCTCCACATCGTCTGGGTCTCGTGTCCGCCGCACTGCTAAACATCATTGCGCGCAGCAGGTGTTGACGTGGCGAGCGGCGTGAAAAAGCACATTGCCCAGCATGGCAGCGGAGCTCGATAGCGGCGAAGGACTGGCAAAGCTGCTGGGAAATGTCCTGTTGGAAAGCTCTAAAACGAGGAAGGAGGTTCCAACGGCGTCTCTGGCCGGGGAGGGCAAAGTGATCGGATTATACTTCAGTGGCCAATGGTGTCCTCCGTGCAAGGCATTCACCCCAGTACTGCTTGCATTCTACCATGCATTCAAGACCTCATCAGAGCGTGGAGAATTGCTGGATGTGGTATTTATCAGCTCGGACCGCAACAAAGAGTCGTTTCATGAGTACTACAGTGAAATGCCATGGCACGCAATGCCCTACGAATGCAGAGAGAAGAAGGTAAAAATCTGCTACTGATCCAGGTTGTCATGCATTGCATATCCGATTTCACAGCTTCAATAATAACAGTGTCCACTCGAAACCGGGGGGGGGGGGGGGGGGGGGGGGTCCTTTGCTCGAGATTCTGTTACAGGGCCCTAGCATTCGGTCTGGCCGGTCAGTCTATTGCCCGGCCGTATTTCGGTAAAATTGACCCACCCGATTTGTGAAAAATGGGTTTTCCCGTCCCTGATGTTCAATCTCGATCAGGTATCCGACTTGGCCGGACTGCCTGATTTGTGCTACGGCTCTGTGGTATACAGTGTATCTCCACTCTCCGCTCTTCATACCCCCCCCCCCCCCCCCCCCACTTCACATCACAATGCATCATGGCAATTTTTCACTTTACGATGGCATGAGCAGAGAATTCTTACTCTTAGGGAACACGAAGTCATCGAGGGGCTTAAGTCTGTAGACTGGGTGCAGTCTATACGCACACAGAGGAGTCCGTAAGCAAATCGACTTTGGGAAAGTTCAGGTTTCTGTGTGGGTTTTACTGTTGGGTATGTGTGTCTAGTGTGTGGGTGTACATGGTGTGTGTGTGTGTGTGTGTGTGTGTGTGTGTGTGTGTGTGTGTGTGTGTGTGTGTGTGTGTGTGTGGTGTGTGTGTGGTGTGTGTGTGCATGTGCAGGCTGAGCTCACTCGTAAATTCAGGATCACAGGCATCCCCTCACTTGTGCTAGTTGATGGACAGACGGGGAAGGTCATTTCGACATCGGGCCGTAACATAGTGGCTGCTGATCCAGAGGCAAAGAAGTTCCCGTGGAAACCGCAGACCGTTGAAGAAATACTTAAACGTGGAGATTTCATGCAGGGCGACGGTTCTCTTGTGAAGTTCTCTGAGCTATCTGGAAAAACAGTTGGCCTCTATTTCTCGGCCGAATGGGTAAGCGCTTGTGTTTGGTACCTGTGTGTGTAATCTACCATTACACGTCAGGCAGCGCAGATATTTTTCTGTGGGGATATAAGTGCTCTTTGCTGACACACTATTCACATACAGTCGTCCCTCTCTAATCCGGCACTTTATAATCCAGCACCCTCGATAAACCAGCACAATTTTCAGTAGCCCTCTTCATGCACATTGCAGCAGTAAATCAGATTTGTTAATCCAGCACCCTCCTTAATCCAGCAGATTTTCGTGGCACAAATGGTGCCGGATTATAGAGGGACCACTGTACTTTGAAGTACATTTTCTCTTTCGGATTAAAAAAAAATGATCTTGACATGATCACACATCATCTGTTCCGAACACTGCTGGTTTACCCGTCGTCTTTTCATTCGCTCAAACTGATGAACATTGCACTGCTGGGTGTTTTTCCGGATTATGCGTGTTGTGCAGTGTCCTCCATGCCGCAGCTTTGCACCCGTCATTCTCAGAGCCTACAATATCCTCAATGACAGGAAAAAGAAATTTGAGGTTATATATGTCAGCAGTGACCACTCTATGTCGCAATTTCTGGAGTATTTCGAGCCATTGCCATTCTTGGGGATTGGACCGGATGATGAGCGGCGGGAGATGCTAGGCGATCGATTTAGTGTTAACGGTAGGTTAGTTCCAGGCATGGTGTGTGTGTGTGTGTGTGTGTGTGTGTGTGTGTGTGTGTGTGTGTGTGTGTGTGTGTGTGTGCATACATGTAGGTGTTTTGTCTGTATGTGTGCATCTGTGTGTCTGTTCCATAATTATGTGTGTGTGCATGTGTGGGTGTATGCGTGTGTGTTGGTGTGTGTGTGTGTGTGTGCCAGCTAGTTCGGTTGGTAGGTACACTTATGCCTGATTGTGTTGGGTCTGTTGCCAACTGGCTCGGCTGCTTGAAGGTGTAATGTTGTACCTGCCACCTTTGTTGGTTCCAGGGTTCATATACTTTCTATTTGAAGTATACATACCTGTTAACCATGGACTGCTTCTGGCTAGATTAACTCTTGTGTAATCAATGGTGCTAGCGAAGCTTTTATCAGATCCACTCTGATTTAGCCACTCACACTAGTAGCAAGTATTACCTTCACTGGGGGCAGGGGTAACTGCAGTTGGATCCCGGGACGGATACCCTGATGCCGTCAATCCTTTTTCTGCACCTTGTCCTCACCCACTTACTGAGGTGTGGTGAGCCCATAAGTGGGGTCATTTTCAAGTCCACCCAGAGTTTTGGGGATTTCAGGGGGTGTCGGCCGTTGGGCGGTTCAATAACCAATTGAGGATATGTTTTGCAGAAAGACCACACAATCATTTCATGCAGCTGCACTGAACACTCTGATCAATTCAAAAATGTTCTTCTGTGTACAACAGTGACAGAGGTGTTTTGGGGACTACGAGAGAAATGTTTTCCCTTTGTATCAGAAATTTGTGTTATCAGAAATGTGTCCAACGCATAAGCTAAGCTTTGCAGTGTGAAGTTTGTTTTGCTTTAGCCCAAATTTCATACAGGTGCAACAGAGAGAACAACGGCCACCTTGTAGTTAGGAGACTTTGAGATGGAACCCGGTAGATAAAACACTCATATTAACGACTTGCACTACACACAACATTGCAATGACTCCAGCACGAACCGGGGGAGATTGAGTCACTGAATATGCTGCCATGCATTCCATATTGTTTTCCGAAACAGGCATACCAAGACTTGTCCTCTTTGATGAGAATTGGAAGATGATTTCTGACGATGCCCGGATGTCATTGATGGCAGATCCGGACTGTGAGGTAACTGCCATAACCTGATGCGTTGCCCCAGTCCCCATGACTTCCAAATTCTGCTCCACATCCTATTCTCAATAACGCCTGTTCTTCTTTTCTTTCCCTCTCCTCCTAGCACTGTCTGTCTTTTCCTTCCCCTCCTTCTAATGTACTGCCTTTCCTCCTAACATTTCGTATCATGTACCTGTCACTCCTTTCATTTTTCTTTTTCTTTCTTTTTTGGTGCGTTTTATGTCCCCATGACGTCGAGACCTCAGGTCGGCTGAGGGCAAAAAGCCTCACCATCACTATGCTCCCACTATGCAATTTGTTGTCTTTGCCTGTGAGCTGTGATCATTGTAAAAAAGTACAAAAGGATGCATGCGGGTGGGGCATGTGTTTTCCCTGTCAGCTGCAATCCACGCATTGCTAATGTAAAACTACTTCATTGGTGTATATGTAGATGTTGTTCTGTGGCATGGGCAACTCTGGCAACGCTTGACTTCCGAATTGGCAATGTATTGCAGGCAGATTACGAAGTGTGGCCCACTGCTGTTTGGTCTATCACATTAATGGCAGGTAGTTACAGTAACAGCAGTGTGTTCCTGGTGGAATCCTTATTTCATCCAGTGGTTTTCCATGTTTTCTCCTTTTTTTGCAGCACTTTCCCTGGCAGTACCAACTTGTCAACTTTCTTCATGAGCAGTTTGCAAGATACTTGAATGAGGAAAGCTGTGTCGTGTACTTCACAGGTCAGTTACACCGAGACCGTAGTCTCTTAGACCAGGCAGTGGATTGTAATGCATACTAGTAGCTGGCTTCACCGAGATCCTAGTCTGCTAGACCAGGCTAGGATTGCATTGCGTAGCGGTGACTTTCTATAAACCGGGGAACGTGACTCGAGATATTTGTCGGTACAACTGTCAACTTGTTCTACACTGGAACTCACCTAGTATGTACAGTGCGGATCGGCTATAGGGTTGTCGGCTATAGTAATATACCTCTTATAGTGATCGTATTCTCAAATTCATTTTCGTAAACCACCCCTTTCTATACGTATCGGATCGGCTATAGTAATAATCGGCTATAGTAATATATCGGCTATAATGATACGATTTCTTTGTCAAAATGATCTTATTGCATACATTTTTCATCGGCTATAGTGATGATCATAAAAAATTATACATTGTACATGGCGAGATCTGATCGCGGCAGCCAGGAAACGCTGGTACGACTATGAGTATGATATCCCTCGGAGGAAATTCGAAATGTTTGGCGTTGGCTGTGCTTGTTGTTCCGGGGCATCCTCGAGCGAGATCGGAGGCAGTAATGAGTACCAGCGCTGAAGCGCTACCGTGGTCTCCGCCGAGATGTTGAAGAAGGCATTCAGGTAACAGCGAAGACGATCAGTGACGCGGAGAAGCTTCTCTGTGGCATACGACATCACGCGTCGATCGACCTGCCACTTGGAACGGTTTCAGCGGTGATGAGTCGAGCGATGGCGACCCAGACTTAGACTCTACTCCCACTAATCGATCCTGTAGATATTGTTGATATGTCGATTGAATGTGTTGAAGTGTTTCTCTTCCAAAAGAACACATTTGTTGAGCACAGCAACTCCTTGAAAACACATGTCAAAAAGTCACGAAGTTTTTGTTTCCGCAGGAAGTAGCTCTGCACTGCGCGTACTGCACAGTCACATGCACAGCACGCTTCTGCACGCTGCACTGATTCGGATGACACCATACACGCATTTGTCAGGCATACCTAAGTATGCATATCGCCTATAGTAATATATCGCCTATAGTGATATTTTCACGAAAATCAAACACCAACGCTATAGCCGATCCGTACTGTACCGTACTTTCCGGGGTGTTAGCAGCACTTCAAAAAACGCATATAAAAACCTCAAAAAATGCCCTTGTGCCTTAGACTCCAAATGCTGGAGTGTGGAAGTGTCTGTCTGTGTATGTGTGTGTTTGTCTGTGTATGTGTGTGTTTGTCTGTGTATGTGTGTGTTTGTCTGTGTATGTGTGTGTTCGTCTGTGTATGTGTGTGTATGTGTGTGTTTGTCTGCGCGATGCTCAAAATATTTACAGTAATCACATTCCTGAAAGATTACAGCATAGGACATTTATTCCCGTAGCTATGCAAAAGACGAACTTAGATGGAACAATCAACTTTATGCAAAAGACGTCACTTCAGTATCGTCTGGCGCTAGCCAGGGTCCACACAGCTTTAATTCCATGTTTGTGTGTCTGTGTCGTCGGCATGCCTGGCGCTATCCCGTACCAGTTCCGTACCGTACCATCAAAGACAGCTCCCCGCTATATTCAAACAGGGCTTTCGAATGCAAGATCATAACGTGAAGCAACTTGGAAGAATGAGTATGTATGCGAAGTTTATCAGGGGGAATGCATGCAGGGTGATAGTGCGGGTTCGAATCCCAGGTTATGCCTTGAAAAAAGGAGAAATGAAAAATTTATAACATACCTATACTTTTTTTGCCTAGGTCATCAAGGTGGTAGACGGTGTCGTGTTACCCTCGAATGCAAAGAGAAAGTTTGATGTGGCCAATCAATGGAGAAAAAAAAACATTTCCATCAATTCTAAAAACATGCATGATGAGCTAGGCAAAAAAGCATAGCGTAGGGCCCTGAACTTCCAAGCTCTCTCGTTAAATTGTTTTGTACGAATTTTCTCTTCTCCACGGAATGAATTTTGAAGTTCTATATGTTGCTTGTTTTCAGCTTCTGGTGTTATCTACAGAAGAAATATAATGATAAAGAACTGATAAATAAATCAATAATGGTTATTTGGTAGTCAAAAAGGGTGGCCGTTGAATCCTTTGCACTTCAGCGTCACAAATGTGTGCGACGGTCCTAATGTTCATTGAAGCTAGAATTATTGCTATTTCAGCTATCAATATCAAGTTTTTTGAAACAAAACTCTCCTCAACCCCCCCCCCCCCCCCTCCCCATAAACAAAAAAAAGGGTTGCCGGGCTCATGTAAAAGACCAGTAATTAATAAAGACGGACCCTTACAGCGTGACGTGGCATGCTATGCTATGCGAGGGTGCAAACTCGGCATTGACTATGTACTACAATGCACACGTCTTTATTTCTCCCCTTTGCTTGCTAGATGGAACCAAAAGGCAAATTTCCAATGCGGAGAATGCTCTTGAGCCATGCGCTCGGGCAGAAGTGGAATCTGCTAGGGCTGCGGACGAGCCACAAAAAATTCACTTCTTCGTTGGAACAATCGACAGTGAAGTGTCCAGAACCATTGCGCAATTCATTGGGGTAAGCAGATCTATTGCATGTTTGGAATTCTATGGTGTTCTGTAAGTGTAAGTTTTGATGGTGAGCAGATGGTCAGTAAGTGTACAATCGGAAACCTGTACTGTGACTAGCGACCACACTTTGTTGCACAGATAACGGTAAATGGTGTTTAGTTGGAGATCTGTGACCTTGTGACTTCGTCTTGTCTGTAAAGTAAAGTTGTGTTCATGTGTGACCTGAAACGTTCTCGGCTCCAAGCCTGCCATGGCAAACTAAGGTGCTGCACCTGAGAGCATCGCTATTCACAAAACCAAGTGTGCAGTGCCAGCACTGCATGATGCAGGCAAGGCTTCCTAACACAGGAACAGACAGGAGAATTCATACGTACAGTATCCTGTTTGCCGGCCTATTTTATGTCACCCCACCCAGCTCGCACAAGTGCACATCTCACTATTGGCACATACAGTATTATTCACTCGCACAATATTGCCCAGTGCCCACGCTTGCTGCAGCCGATATCAATCACATCTTCAGAACGTTGTAGTCAGTGCTGTGTGATGACCTGTAAAACAGTGAAACTCAGAGTTACAGCAGAATCGTTTCGTTTCTTTCTTTTTATGTGTATCTGTCTGTCTGCCTGTCTCTATGTGCGTGTATCGATCGTTGTCTCACTAATCATTGTAGCTACCAAGTGATCGTCCTGCTGTTACAATAATCGACTGTCCTCTTCGGACTTGGTATTATTACAACGGAAGCCTTGATGCGCGAGGTATGGATCTGTTTGTTGCCAACTATCGAGCTGGAAAGCTAGACAAGCATGACATCAAGCAACCGACTGGTAGCGACAGCATCACACCGCCCCGATGATTTGCAACATGGGTGACACGTGAGCGACAGCACAATGCAAGCATATCATGTTGTAGTCTGAGGTACGTGTGTGCCCTCACTTATTCCGATGTACGCCTGGCACCGTTTGTACCCCTGGGAAATCCCCTATTCTCTGCTTTATGCGGAATGAGGCGGCTTGATCTGCTTCACAAGGTCTATCTTCTTCCATGAACTGGTCAAATTACTCGATTACTCCCTTCGACAGATGTAGATTACTGAAATTAGTGCTATAGAAAACGTAGAGAAACTTTCCAGAATATAGTCTCAAGCATAAAATCATATCACCTGCTTTGTATCGTATCTACAACAGATTTTTACCAGTTTCGCACGAAAATATCAATGGTCATGCTTTCAACT